AAATGCAAGTATCAATTCGCGACGGTACTCCCCCACTAGTACAGTGGTGGCGATGGAATTAATGTCAGGTAATACAATGCAGCTTTTAGGTAAACTAGAAGCAGTAGTGATATTATTGCTGTTGTTAAGATTCGCAATCGTTATACTCGGGGTAAAATTAGTAATATTGGTAGTAAGTATCTATAATGGGGTCCCCACATCGCTCCACTCCAATACGGGCACCCGGGTTTAGGAAGTAGAATGAATGGAACGTATCGGGACCAATTCACTGCGCCATTATCATGTAAACTAAAAAAAGTTACGCGGTTAAGTTTGGGATTTGCGCTGACCTCGGGCGAGGACAGTGAGGTACCTTTTTTAATAATACCACTAAACCCAACTATAGTAACTGCGAACGAGTGAAAAAGTTGGAAGATTGTGGAAATTCACCCAACTTAAAATTTGTAAGTAGGCGGTTATTCCTATGATTAATTTGAAATATAAGTTTACTTAATAAACGGACTTAAGCGGTTATTGTGCATGGTGGCCTTCTGATGACCCCTCTGCAGTTCAGTATCATCATCCAATCCCTACTGGACTAAGGGTGGGCGTGTGAAAAATTTGGCGATCGTGAAAAATTCAGCCTACTTATTATTTGTAAGTAATCGGTTAGTAAGCATGTTCACCCTCTTAGAAAACCTCTATAGATCCCTGCCATATTGGTATTAGAAGTCTTATTAGTGGGTGTAGAAGCAATGGCTATTGTACAAGCGGGATGTTTTATAGCCGTAAATTAAACTAAAACAGTTAATCAATTCCTCATGCTACGTTTGCAAAACAAGAAACGCTGACAGCCTTTGATACAGCAAGGCGCTTGAGTCATTCAGAATTCATTTAGGGCCCATCCGTCTCAAAAACGCGACACCTAGTGCCCAAGTTTGAGAAAAAAGTACCCTACATCGAAGTTAGCACTTTTTATTTCAGTCATTCTATGCCCTCCATGAAGAGCTTCTTACCGGGCAATAGTGAACTTCCTCGTCACAAATCTAGTCAATCCAATCGCCCACCCGCGTGACTTCCGAAGTAACCTGTAAAAGCACTAACAGAAAACTTTACTTTTTACGACGAAGTCTTTCGTCCCAAAATGCAATCGGCGTTGTCCGTTAGACTGCCAAAGTCGCCTGCAAGGACACTAATAGAAATCTCCAGTTTCCAGGCCGTAGTCTATCGATAGAGGGTACATTTGACACTGTCTGTGGGCTGTCATGCTATCGCAGGGGCTTACATTTATAGGTAAAACCTTGGCAACTGCGGTATTCGGGTCCGGTTCCTTGCGGTAAGGGAAGAGGTTAGAGGCCAA